TCTCGATATTATAGAATTCTGAGTAGTATTTTAGATTGAGCAACAAGCAGATTCATCTCCTACTTCCTATTTTATGTATGCAGTTTGGTAACTTCATAAAAAGGAAAACATTTTATCTAAATAGAATTTCGAATGGAAATGGGTTTTAAGTAACTTTTAAAAAATACTCTTCATGCTCTCAAAATAGTGATTTTTTTTTTAAGGTATGGAAAATATTAATGCTTACATGCAGAAATGGCATGGGTATTAAGATTATGTTCAGATCGTAAATAATGGAAATAAAGGGTCTGCAGTATTGATAAAGTAGACTGTGAGTTGACCTAAGGAGAAACTGATAACAAAAATAATTTTTCACTTGCTGTTGTCTTTGGCATCCCACCATCCATTTGTTAAAAGGCTGAATCTGTCCCCCTTCCATCCAGTCTTAATCTTTGTCAGTTTTAACTGTCTTACTTTCTCACTGAATTATCTCCACTTTACAGTAATTTTCTGAAAAAATACTTGTGCCTCAAAAGCAAAGTTTTTATTTTACAGATTCCACCATGATTTATGATTGTTGATTTAACTCAAAAAAACACAAAATTTATCTCTCACATTTAAAAAATATCAGGAGCTAGCTTTTTTCAATGAGATTACACCTATTTCATTAATGTCCTCGTAGTTTGTTTTTCTAAAATCTTTTTATTTTGAAGTAAATTTAGATCCACAGAAGAATTGTAAAAGTAGTACAGAAAATTCCTGTATTCCCTTTTTCCGACTTCCCCTAATGTTAGCATCTTATATACCATGGTACATTTATAAAAATTAAGAAATTAACATGGGTAAACTGAGCTAAACTATAGACTTTTATTTCAGTTTCTCCAGTTTTTCCACTAATGTCGTTTTCTGTTCCAGAACCTAATCCAAGAGACCATGTTGTATTTAATTATTATATCATATTAGCCTCCTTCCATCTGAATTTCTCAGTGTAGTTTTTCATTATCTTGGCAGTTTTGAAGAGCTTACGTATTTTGTAAATTTCCCTCAGTTTGCATTTGTCTGATGTTTTCTCTTGATTAGATGGGGTTATAGATTTGGGGAGAGATACCATAGAGGTGAAGCACTCTACTCATTACATCATGTCAGAAGGTCCGTGATATCAATGTGACATTGCTGGTGATGTTCACCTTGATCACTTTGTAAAGGTGGCATCTGTCAGGTTTCTCCATTGTGAAATAACTATTTTTCCCTTTTCACGCAATGTTAGAAACCTGTCATAAGGAACCAACCCACCCTCAGGGGAAGGGAATTAAAGAAGCTCCATCTCCTGGAGGGAGGAGTATTCAAAGAATTTGTGGGCATATGTTAAAATCACTGCAGTAATAAATATTTGAGGTGGGGGGCATATTTTGAGGTCATGCAGATATCTTAATTCTCCTCGAAGTTTCACCCACTAATTTTAGCATTCATCAGTGGATCTTGTCTGCAGCAGTGAATCTACTAGTGATTTTCTACTTCTCTTGTTCCTTCTACATGTATTATTTGGAATCCTCATGTAAGGAAGAGTTGTCTCTTCTCTCCTCTTCAGTTATCATTGTACCCTTATGGACTCATGGATATTTATTTTATTCTTTGGGTTATAATCCAGTACATGATGGTTTCCTTTGGGGCTCAAATTGTTGCCTTGGCGTTTGAGGTTTGCTGCTGTCCTTTTAACATGCTATGTTCCTGTAGATTTTTTTCTCTGGCATTTTGCCCAAAATGTTACTCAAGAATGACTACTTATGAGAGAGACCTGATTAAAAACACAAAATTAAAATATTCTCTGAACTCTTGACACGGTACTTTGTTAAAGGCACAATGTTATATTTTGGATGAGTAAGTCAGTTTACCATCACACAGAGAGAGATGTTAAACATCAGAGTGAGGAAAAACAGACTCCAGACTACTATGGGGAGAAGGTATGATGTATCACTGTCATTGTAAATTAGACGTGAAAAAGACTAGAGAAAGTTTTGATTGAAAAACAGTGGGTAGAATTCACTGAAACAATCTAGTTTAGGAGAGTGGCGATTATAGTTGTACTGTAATCTGTAAAGATTTCTTTACTTGTGCTAAAATTTCTCAACTGATAGAATTCAGTTTTTCACATAAGTTAAAATGGTATTGCAGACTGAAAACTTAATCCAAATTCTTAAGAATAAATGAAAAATACATTTGAAGTCTTACTGTTTGCTAAATTATTCTTGGCTCTGTACCAGAACTGATCTTGAGCTTTCTAATTTTAGATTTACGTATTTCCTATAAACATTATTACTTGTTCTCTTTTGTAAATTAGTTACAGAACTATCTGTAAGTGATCTCAAATCTGAATTATCCTGTGTTAATACATCCTGTATATTAATAGTTGAGAAATAAGCTACTACAGGAGTAGGTAATTTAAAACGTTCCAGTGCAGGTAATGTGCTGTTGATCATAGTTTCTTGGTGTGTGAATACAGTAGGGCAAGAAATTTGTTGGTTGATTTTGTTTGCTGTTCTTTTCCATGTGTCTTGTCACATTGGATGTCTGTCTTGTCTGGTCATGAAGCTGATGGTTTGGGAGAGAACAAAATAGGCTTCTTTAGCAAGACTCATTGCGGAGCACAGTGCTCAACTCTTTATATTATTTATAATGGCTCTGGGCTTTAAATTATCAGAAACACATAAATGATATTTCAAAATAATGCTGTTTGTGAAATTTAAAAAGAATATGATAATTGAAAAAGGTAGTTTCAAAAAATTGACTAATTTCTTTGAAACCATAATGTAACTTGTAACATAGTTAGGAAGCACTCATGTTTTTCTCCAGCCTTATGGTTATTCTGGAAGAGAGAAATTGATCCTTATGGTAATTAGTGACATCACAGGCAACATCTGTAGCCCATTGCTATCCTTTACCGGTACTGCTGATTGAGGGCATGTTTATTGAGTGCTTACTGGACACTTGGCACTGTGCTCAGGGAAGTTGGTACATTGAGGGCATTTGTTGTGTCATAATTCCTGTTAAAAACAAAGTAGCTGTAGTAGTACTGGTGCTGTGCTTTTTCTTGCTAACTGAGATGGAAGCTTGTAAGATTCTCGTTGCTGATGTTCAGTGTTCATCCTTCTTAAGAATTCATTTGGTCTAATTAAAGAGAAAGGTATCAATAGTACTGAAGCCAGTCAGCAAATGTACTAATAGAAGTTGTTTGGTATTAGGTATCAATAATTTATTAAGGGTAAATTTTTATAATACTTGTCCCTACTGTCCCCTTTTATTCTTTAGGCTCTCAAATGGGAAAGGGTGTTAGTTATTACGTTCATCCTGTGCTTCAATCAGCCCTTCTTAATCACTTATTTTAAAAGCTTATTTCCTTCTGTGACCTTTATTTTCCCATTTACTAGGGCAGGATTTAAATTTTTTTTCCTTTTTGGTATAATTAGGGACAAGTACTACAGTAACTTGGTAAACCAGAAAGCTGTGTGGTTTTTGTTTGTTTTTTTAATATTTTTTTAAATTTAGTTGGCTGCGTTGGGTCTTAGTTGGCGGCCTGCGGGGCCACTCCTTGTGGCCCACGGTCTCTAGTTACAGTGTGTGCGCTTTGGTAGTTGTGGCGCTCTGGCTTCGTTGCTCTGCAGCATGTGGGATCTTAGTTCCCCAACCAGGGATCGAACCCATGTTCCCCCATTGCAAGGTGGATTCTTAAATACTGGACCACCAGAGAAGTCCCAGAAAGCTATGTTTTAATACTATAAACCTCAGTGACAGAGAAAGTGTTAGTCTCTCAGTCATGTCCCACTATTTAGATCCCATGGACTGTAGCCCACCAGGTTCCTCTGTCAGTGGAATTCTCCAGGCAAGAATACTGGAGTGGGTTGCCATTCTCTTCTCCAGGGGATCTTCCTACCCAGGGATTGAACCGAGGTCTCCTGCATTGCAGGCAGATTCTTTACTGGGAAAGCCCCCCTGGTGTTATAAATGTCGGTAAACAGTTGATTAATAATCCCAGAGGTAATCACATCTAAACATCTTGCTTACACGTAAATACACTTGTAATCTACATTTCATTTGCAAGTGATACTTGGGTTTCATTTTAGGTGGATAGCATTTCATAAAAACTAAGTCACAGGGAAGAAATTTAAGAATCACATATGTTTTCTGAAAAAAAATCTGTTAATTCTGGATTTTTTGTCATTTTGAAATTGCTTTAAAAGAACTTACAGAACTGGTCAGAGTTGGGAAAAAATAGAATCTATGAGTGGTTCCTTTGGAGACCATGGGCAGACTGTTGTCTTGAGATTTATGAATGGCTCCCTGGAGATAATTTTTGAGTTAGTCTCAATGATGGTAAATGTGCATAAAAAGCCTAGCTTTCAGTGTTGTTGTTTTTTTTTTCTTTTCAGTGTTTTCTGAAGTATGCTTTAATACAAATTTAGAATGTTGGTTAAGTTGTGCGTTTACACAAACAGCCCCCTTGATTTTATTGCATCTCCAGTTTAAAATAAAAGAGAATTCCAGGTGGCTGCTAGGGAAGGATCATAAAAGCCCTTTGTTGGAGGATTGCTATGAAATAATGATTTGAGATTTGAAGTTGAAGGAGAGATTTGTTTCACTGGCAAAATCAAATGAAACTTTAACTCCCTGTATTCTAATATTGCAGAAGAGTGGGATTTTTCTAGCGAAAGTCTATTGGACTCTTCAAGAATGCATATCATTTGTGTTTCCTTTCATTCATTGCTTGGATGTGGAAGTTCAGTGATGTTAGAGGTATGGGTGGCATTATCTGTCTTATTTATGCATAATTCTGTCATGTTCAGTGATTCATCAAAAGGGCCCCAAACTGCTGTTTCTTGGAATTTGGGCTTATTAGGGCGTCCATGGGCTTTTCAGAAGCTGTAGTCTTCCTCAGTGGGCTGTTATTCTTGGCTATATTTTTGTTGTTGTAGAACTTAAAGTACAATATGCTTTTTATTAATGTGATTTTCTTTTTCTCTTTACAGTGATTATTTATTCAAGTTACTTCTGATTGGCGACTCTGGGGTTGGAAAGTCTTGCCTTCTTCTTAGGTTTGCAGTAAGTTGAAGTCAAAGTGATTTTAAAGGAATTAATGCTGTGTATATTTTCTGGGTAGACAAAAGATAACACAGTTTTATTCAGGATATTCTTCCAGAATTTTATATATGAAGCCTCCAAATACACATCCCCAGTGATATCTAGACTCTTTAAATAGAAGAAATACTGTTGCTAAAAGAAATTCAAGAAAACTGTAGTTATAAAGTCAAAGTATCTTAATACTCTGCTTGGAGGTCAAACAGTGTTTCATTCCAACATAAATGATGAGTAAGGGAAAAAATGGTAGGCTTGTGTTGAAAGTGACTTGATGGAAGACAAATCTTCAAGTAAAACTTTATTAGAATAAAAAGCAAAAGCAGGGTCTGGTACAGACTATTTATTTTTTTGACAGTGGCATCGTTGTCATTTGACAATGGATGAAATTTACAAACTGATAAATAACTTAATAATAACTTTCAACTTAATAAATGCACGGTCTTGTTCGTAGTGTTTATGAACTGCCTTCAAATTTAACATGTTTTCTTTCTCACTGTCTTGATGATTGCTTCTTAAGATGTGAACCAGTGGGGAATCAAGACCCTCCTGGGGTCCGTGAGATCAAAAACCACTTGCTAATAACACTAAATCATTAGTATAAATGATTACCAAGTAGTTGTACTGAGACAAAAGACATTTGTCTTTTTTCACTCTGTTGATCTTTGCCCTGATGGTGCAAAAGCAATGGTAGGTAAAACTGCAAGTGCCCTATTAGTCCCATGTTGAAGTAATGCTAAGCCCCAGATTACGCTCCTAGTCATGGTGTTTACCTCTGTTCGCTCACAGGGGAGGAAAAAATACCATTATCACTTAAGTGTGTCTTTGATGAAACAGTAAAAATGATTAATTTTTTTCATACTTTTAAAAATTGAGGTATAGTTAATGTTCAGTGTATATAGGTGTTAGATGTACAATATAGTGATTAACAATTTTTAAAGGTTATATTCCACTTACTATTATAGGATGTTGGCTATATTCCCTGTATTGTACAATATGTCCTTGTAACTTTCTGCTTTATACATAGTAGTTTGTACCTCTTAATCCCTTGCCCCTATCTTGCTCCTCCTCCTTTCTCTCTCCGCCAGTAAGCACTAGTTCTCAAATATGTGAGTCTCTTTTTTTCTTATAGTTATTAGCTTTGTTTTTTATTTTAAGAATCAACATATAAGTATTTGTCTTTCTCAGTCTGACTTAGTTATCATAATACCCTCTCAAGTCCATCCATGTTGTTGCAAATGTCAATTTTTCATTTTTTATGCCTGACTAGTGTTCCATGGTATGTATATATGTATGTATACATCTCCTTTATCCATTAATCTGTTGATGGACACCTAGGTTGCTTCTAAAAATGATTAATTTTTAGAGATCTTGATCCTTGTTGAGTGTTTCCTTTTTAAATATTCTGTGTGAAAAAATGAGTACACATAAAACAGTTTTCCTGAAGACTGGAATGTGTTGATTGTCTAAAGGGAAAGAAAAGCGTTTGTATAGTTGTTTCCATTATGAGCTAAACTAGCTGCTTTCTTCATTGAACTTTTTTTTTTAACTTGAAAAAACAACTAACAGGCTATATTTATCTAGAATAGAGTATTGGGTATACATTTTATCAGATGAACAGACATTATCACTTCAAGGAAAATACCTGATAGTATTTGTTGCCTATAATAACTTCAAGTTTTTCAAGGGAAAATTAGAATTTTTAAAAATTTAAAATCCCATCACTGCAAGCTTGACAGCATCTCAAATATTTAATATTACTTTTCTGATGAGATGTTAGTGAGTCTCATGTATATTCATTATATAATAATAATTTGAAAATGAGACCATGTAAGTACCAGAATAAAACCTAGGTGGCTCTTTAATCTTACGTGAAAGTATTTAATAACTGGAAAAAAATCAGGAAAGAAAGGATTGTTAAATTTGATTGCATTAAAATTAATGTTGACACATAATATTAGAAAACAAGTGGTCCTAGCAAAAAGTATATGGAGGAAGAGGTGATAATCTCAATATATAAAGTACATTTATACACTAGTAAGGAAAGGATATTTGTCCTAATGGAAATAAGAATGAATGCATGAGTGGGCAGTTTACAGAAGGAGAAATATAAATTGCCAGTAAATATGAAAAAATGTTCAGTTTTATTTGTAATTAAAGGACTTAAAAATTTCTTTTTGTTTAGTTGCTCAGCTGTGTCCAACTCTTTGTGACCCATGGATTGTGGTCCACCAGGCTCCTCTGTCCATGGAATTCTCCAGGCTAGAATACTGGAGTGGGTTGCCATTCCCTTCTCCAGGGAATCTGACTAGGGATCGAGCCCAGGTCTCCTGCGTTACAGGCTGGTTCTTTGCTGTCAAAATTAGACAATACTTCATATTTATTAAAGTGACAAGTATTAAAATTGAGAATAATTCCTAGTATTAAATCAGTAATCTGGGTAGGTGGGAAGAAGCTAGCATCTCTTGAGGAAAATGGCTATAGCCTGAGGTATTTGTGCTTCAAAGAAAATCCTTTCCAGATTCCTACTGACCTAAGTCACAGGTTTTCAGTATTACCTACACAGAATGAGCCAGGAAGCATTTTAAAAATACTGATCCTCAGATCCCTAAAATAGATTCAAGCTGTAACAAGTATGATTAAGAAATGTATAATAAGCTTTGAGAGCACAGAGGGAAGAATCTCTTTAATTACTGGCCAAGGAATTGAAGAATGTTTGGACAATCACTGTTGCCTGAACTCAAATTTGAAAAATGGATAAAAATTGCCAACTTGCCCACGGGTTGGGGAGTTAGGGGGAGAAAGCTGGGGGAGAAAGAGATACTGAGAATTTGGACAGTTGAAATGGGAAGTGCAGTGGCTCAGAGGCATGCAAGTAAGGGTCATTTCGGGGTATATAAGAATTCTATTAATAATAGCATTTATAAGTTTTTCTAACAAAGCACTTGGCATGTTCTAGTGCTGAATGTTGTTCTCTATCCATTTTCTATAGTACGTGATACTTACTTGAAAATTTAAATTTAAAGAAGGAATATCTAATGATGAGTATTTTGTCAAATTGCATTCAGTGCTTCAAAAATATCCTTTTACCCAGTGATTCTGTTTATGGCAAAATATGAATATATGTGGAGGATAAGTCATCATAGCTATCTCTAGCCACTTGGAACTCTGATCACATTTTACAGTTTGCTTTAGCCATCTTTGTCTCAGTGTCATATACACATCTGATTCAGCATTATCAAGACTTGCCCACACTAGTTTCATTTAGTCCTTTTTCTCCTTCTTTTTGTTGGAGTGCTACAAATAGAAATTCCAAATGTGTCATTTCCCCTTACATACTTTATTTAATATAGGGTTTCCCTGATCTCAGATGGTAAAGAATCTTCCTGCAATGCAGGGGATCTGGGTTCGATCTCTCGGTTGGGAAGATCCCCTGAAGAAGGAAATGGCAACCCACTTCAGTATTCTTGCCTGGAGAATCCCATGGACAGAGGAGTGTGGCAGGCTATAGTCCTCAGCGCTGCAGAGTCAGACATGACTGAGTAACTAACGCACATACTTTATCATATAAAAAACATTGGTTGACTTACAAAATAAATTTTCCTGGTTGTTTTAAAAAGTGTGGTGTTAGTTTGAATCACAATTTAAAACATGGTTCACACAGACTTATCACATAGAGAACAGACTTGTGGTTGCCAGTGGTGGGGAGGGGAGGATGGAGAAGGATGGGAGTGGGAGTTTGGGGTTAGCAAATGCAAACTTTTATATATAGAATGAAAAAACAAGGTCCTACTGTATAGCACAGAGAACTAAATTATTGAGTTTCCTGTGATAAACCATAATGGAAAAGAATATGTATGTTATTATTCAGTTTTGTATGTATAACTGAATCACTTTGCTCTATAGCAGAAATTAACACAACATTGTAACGCAATGTTCATGCTTTCATTTCGTTGTTTTGCTGCTTAGTCTTTTAGAGTTTTTCCAACTTCCCACTTCCGCCTCCTCCTTTTTTATTTATGTATTTTTCGTGTCACTTTCTTTTTGCAGAAACTGGGGCAGTTGTCCTATAAATTGTCCAACATTTTAGGTTTGTCACTTTGCTTCTCTGTGGTGTCTTTAAACTTGTCCCTCCTGTTTCTGTAATTGGAAGTAAGCCCCAGAGCAGTGCTTTATCTATCACTATCGTAGTTACAAGTCCCTTGTGATTATTTAAATTTAAATAAAATTGAATGGAATAAAAAATTCAGTTCCTTGTTCTCACTAGCCACATGGAGCTACTGGGTACTGTATTGACAGTCACAGGCTTTAGAACCTTTCTGTCATCAAGGAAAGTTCTTTTTAACAGTGCTACTCTTAATAGATTTAGGCTTGATTGAGCCTAAATCCATCTTTGTTAGCAAAATACTTCCTAGGTGGTGCTTTATGCCTGATGATTGTACAGTGGGGTTACGTGGTGAAAGCGTGATCTCTCCATTTACATATCTTTTCACTTAAAGAAAAAAACAATTTTGTTTTCATTATGAGTAAAATAATTGTAATAGGTACTTGAGGGAAAAAACAGGTGTAATTTTAAAAGTTTAGCCTTGGGTTAAACATTGTTCACACAAAAACTTACACACAAGTGTCCATAGCAGCATTATTGATAATAGCTAAAATGTAGAAACCACCCAGATGTCCATGAGCTGATAAACAAGATGTAGTATATCTATACAGTGTACTATTTTTCAGCCATAAAAAGGAATGAAGTACTGATTCATGCTGTAACGTGGCTGGGGCTTCCCTGGTGGCTCTGTGGCAAGGAATCTGCCTGCCAGTGCAGGAGAGACAGGTTCGATCCCTGGTCCAGGAAGACCCCACATGCTGTGGAGCAACTAAGCCCATTGCGCCACAAGTACTGAGCCTGTGCTCCGCAACAAGAGAAGCCGCTGCAAAGAGAATACCCCCATGCACTTGAACTAGAGAACGGCCACCACTCACCACAACTAGAGAAAAACCAGACCCAGCACAGCCAAAAATAAAATAAATTGTGTGTGTCTCTCTGTATATATATATAGATAGATAGATAGATTAAAAAAACAAAGGCTGAACCTTGAAAAGTTTATGCTGAGTGAAAGAAGCCAAACACAAAAGGTCACATTGTATGATTCCATTCATATGAGGTATCCAAAACAGACAAATCTGTGGAAACATAGATTAGTAGTTTCCAGAGTCTAGGGGGAGAGGAAGAAATCTGACTGCTGCTGGGTATAGGGTTTTCTTTTGGAGTGAAGAAAATGTTTTGGAATTAAAATAGTTGTGATGGTTGCACAGTCTTCTGAATATAGTAAAAACCACTGAGTTGTATATTCTAAAGGGGTGAATTTTATGTATATGAATTATATCTCAATTTTAAAAGTCATAACTAAGAAATAAAATTGACTTCTAAAAGAATTTCAGGAGAGGGACATGATCCATAGGTTTGTGTTGAATAAACTGAATAACCAGTGGGGGTGGAGGAGCAAGAATTCTGCTGATTAGCAAGTTAGAAAAATCATTCATAGTCATTCAAAATATAAAACCTTGTCTGTATGATATATGTAAAGAATTTGCCAAGAGATGATTGGAAAACTAAAGAATAGCTATTGGGAAAAAAATCTTAAACCATTATTAAATAGCACTTTGTCTTCAGAATGTGAACTGAGTGCAGGAGCAGGATGGAGTGGCTGTTCTCAGATTGTGTCTTACAAACTTTATCAGCTTTCTGGATAAAAGTTAACATACTTCTTATTTACTCTATTGAACATTCATTTTAATTGTTAACTTTTTTCCCTTTAGGATGATACATATACAGAAAGCTACATCAGCACAATTGGTGTGGATTTCAAAATAAGAACTATAGAGTTAGATGGGAAAACAATCAAACTTCAAATAGTAAGTAATTTTGGGACTAGAAATTTTTTGGAAATTATTTTGGTAAATTTAGAATATTTGTTATTTTTAATATGTTAAAATGAAAGTATCTTAGGAATCATTCATCTGTGACAGAATGGTAGAGTAAGAATTGTTTAGATTGAAAGTGATTTAAGATTACCTTCTTCATTGAATTTTCTGTTCATAGAGTTGAGAAATACATGTTTTAAGTCAAACCCGGTCCTAGTTCTTTTTCTTGCACTTTTATCATGAGGTCTACGGGGTCTAAGTTGATGTTTGTTTACTTCGTCTTACAGAAGAAGCATACTGAGCAGTTTTCATATGTCTTTTATTGTGCTGAATACTCTGGATCCAGGAAAAACCTAGGAGAGGTTCTTCATATTTGCTTTAGTTGAGTATTAGATAGTATGTTCCAACGCTGTAGAAATGTAGAATTTTATTGGAAGGGAATTTAGCTTTTCTTACATATTTTACAGCTCAGAAAATGGATGCTGAGAGATTTAATTACCATTAGTAGCAGAACCAAGTGACCCATAGCTCTGTTTTCAGTATATTGTGTTCCTGTGCCATCCTCACTCCCTTACCCATCCTTAAAACCCCAACACTGAATTAAAAATATGCAGGTGTAGTAGAAACTTAACATAGGTCTGAGTACTACCAGGATGCACATAACTTTGGTCTTTAAAAAAAAATCTCAGATATCTTTTCGAATTGGCTCTTACTATGAGGTAACATGGAAAACAAGTGACTGCTCTTTTTATGGAATTGATAACACCCTGAACTGGAAGGAATTCTGTATTTGGAGTCAGAAAACTTGGATTTGTTGTGTTCATTCTGCTGTTTATTAGTTGGAGAGTCATGGGTTTAACTTAACTTCAGCCTTTTTCCTGAGATTCAGTTTCTTACCTCTAAAATGAGTGTGATGATACTTGACTTACTAATAGGTAGTTGTGAGAACCAAACCTATAGTTTAAGTAGTTGTGAGAACCAGATCTATAGTTTTGTGTATGTATATATGTTAATCTGTGTAAAAACTCTTTGCCGCTGCCTAATCAAAATTAATTTCTGTTGGGAGCCTGCCATTTAGATTGATTTTATCACAACCTGTCATTCCTTTTTGGAAGCATGTTTTCAGAACCTTTTATAATTTAGGTTACTCCTTTATAAGTGCCACTTATTAACATATGATTCCTAAAATCAAATGTAATATAGTATCTGGCCAGTGTGGACTACATGGGGTAAATTCTCTATTGATTTGGTCTCTGAATTTCTTTTTTTTCCTCTCAGACTGTAGGGACTCTTGCCATTTTCTCATCATTGGCCCATACAAGGACATAAAAAGAAAGCCTGAGTTTACTGCATTTGCTATCTCAGTAGCTATTTTACCTACTAGTTTGGGTCTTAAGGTTTTGGTTTGTTTTTTGTTTAAGTCTTACATTTTGTGACTAGGGCGTTAAAAATCTAAATGCAAGATTTTACTTTTAACCCTGCTACATTTCACCTTGCCTGGCTTGAATTACCCTTTCATGTTTTCCAGGTCTTTAAAAAAAATGATTGGGTTTATCTATATTTTAATTGTTTTTTCTGCTTTTCTTGTTCAAGTGTGCCATCAGGGTCTTTATCACAGTTGGTGATTACAAAACATTCAGCACTGCAGGGCATGTATGGAGTCTAGTCCCATGAAAGGCCTCTTTCTGTGAATGTTGATTCATTCACGAAGCTTTACGGAAATGCTCACATTGCACAGGCATTCAGATAGGTTCAAGGTTGCCGGGATGGGTGAAACATAGCCCCATAGGGGATCCCATTTCAGTAGGAGAGAGACAGCAGGGAAAATCAGTTTACCTCGTGATTATGAGGTGTAATGAGGATTATGTCCATAAAGGGTGATCAGTTACAGAGGGAAGGTAATGTTAGGATGTAGAGTCAGGAGAGTTTTCAGAGTGGCAAGAAGATAGCAGAAATTTTACTCTTTGGATGCCATTGCTTAGCTACAATTCTTTAACATGTATTCAGAAATAGTTTCTTCCTGTTCTTGTCCTATCTTTGTGAAAAGGGTTGGTTAGTGGTGGAGAAGAGAAGGGAACTAACATTTTATTGAGTAGCTACTATAATGAGGTATTGTGCTAGGCATTTTATAAACATTATTTCATTTAAATTTAGCAGCTTCATAAAGTAGTGATATCTGGAATTTATGGATGAAGAAACTAATAACTAGGAACCTAAATTTAATGTTTTGAAGTCAAATTGACTTTACTCTAGAGATCCTGCTTAGACTTGAGGCTCCCTACTGATGGTCTTCTGACTCTTAATAGGCTAGAACTTTGGATGAAAAAGGTAGCTTTTGCTTGTTTTAGATGAACAAGTGTTAACATATTACTTTATTTATTACTTCATTATTATTTTTCCCCCTTGGAGTATGTTAAAGTGGTTATTGACATATTTTACTACAAAAATACTAACTATGCATCTATTTTACTATGTAACCACCGTTACCACTTCTAACAAAACTGACACTAATGCCTTTAAAAATTTTTTTTCTTTAACTTTTTGTTTTGGGGTATAGCCAATTAACAATGTTGTGGTAGTTTCAAGTGGACAGCAAAAGGAGTCAGCCATACATATATATGTATCCATTGTCCTCCAGACTCTGCTCCCATCCAGGCTGCCACATAACACTGAGCAGAGTTCCATGTGCTGCACAGTAGGTCCTTATTGGTTATCCATTTTAAATACGGCAGTGATACTAATGCCTTAATGTTATCCAGTAGTCAGTCTGTATTTAAAGTTCCCCAAAATTGCAGCTTCCTTTTAACAGCTCTGTTGGCTGGGTCTTTGAAAAGGAAGTGATTTCACTCAGTGCTCCTGAACTTTTTTTTTCCTTTTTTTTTTTTTTTTTGCCATTTAGGACACTAGTGGGGAGCAATGTCAAGTTCACATATATATTCCAGAACTTTACAACTTCTTCCCACGAAAGGCTGTTTCATCATAATCTCCACTTGTATTAGGCTACAAGTCTATCTTTTGTTTTTTTAATGGTTAACCATTAAGTAACCGTTCGGTTATTTCCCGATCAATCAAGTGTTAAGTTTTAGTGGGGTGTGTGCTCGGTTGCTTCCATTTTGTCTGACTCTGTGTGACCCTATGGACTAGAGCCTGCCAGGCTTCTTTGTTCATGGGATTCTCGGGCAAGAATACTGGAGTGGGTTGACATTTCCTCCTCCAGGGGACACAACTGAGGGATCTAACCTGCATCTCTTATGTCTCTTTGCCACTAGTGCCAGCTGGGAAGCCTGTTAGTGGGGTAGATAGCTTTTCTAAAAAAAAACAAACTTTTTTTAAAAAGGAAAGGTCATTATTTAGGAGCAATTGAAACAAAATTCTCATTGCGCTTGTTAAAACCATGGTTTTTAAAATGAGTTTACCTGATATTTTTTAATAGTTTTAACTCCGAACTTTAATGTGGCAGTGTTGTTTGTTTCCACTGTTGGAGCCTAAATGGTTGAAGTGTGGTAAATTGCTCTTAAAATGAATTTTATAAAAGTATTTGGAATCATCTTCCTTACATTGTTTTCCCTAGGATTAAAATAATTGTTCCTGAGATGGCTAAAGTGCTGTCTTGACTGATAGTTACCTGAATTAGGTCCTTTCAGTGTTTCCCATGATGATAAAATGTGCTAGCAAGAGGTCTTATGTTTGATGAGAGTTGTAATGTGTTAGCAGGGGCACTACATCAGTAGATTTGCTAATATCAAGTCAGCCCATCTTTGCATTCATAGTGTAAGCTTGGCACAGTGCTAAAGGCTATTGAGTATATGAAAAGTATGACATAGTTGCTGATCAGAGGGCTTATAATTTACAATATTGGTAGCATTAACTGCAAGCTAAATTAGACTCTGCCTTCTTTTTTGAACCTTCAGATATTTGGCAGTTTCTTTGTGATTTAGTAGTGTGAGCACAGAGAGCTAATGTTCCCATAGCAAATCCTGGTAATCCACAACTATGTAAACTAAACTGTTCTCCCTCCTTGCCTCCTTTTCCCCAACTCTTGTTTTAATGGAATTGTTTGGATTTCTTGATTATTTTATGATAGTGGGACACAGCGGGCCAAGAAAGATTTCGAACAATCACCTCCAGTTATTACAGAGGAGCCCATGGCATCATAGTTGTGTATGATGTGACAGATCAGGTAAGTTCCAGGAGAAAATTGTGTCTCACTAACAATGTAGTAAGTTATTATTTGATTAAATATCACACTATTTTTACTTTGCATACAAGCAATGAGTATTATTTATATAGCAGACTTTGTCCACCCCAAATGAAGTGAATGATACAAAACCATTTATCTTAAACCAGTTATCTTTTAAGAACAGGTATAGTGTTATTTTTTCTCCCCTACATCATTTGAATACCTAATAAACTGGTCAACCCAAATTTCCTATTTTCTTTTAGTAAACAGAAAATATAGTAATTGGATTTACATTTGCTTTCAAGGGACCCAAATTATATTTATTATCAATTAAACCATTTTGTCAAGGGTTTGTAGGGAACTGGGATTGTTTGGTTCATATTGTGTCCTTGGTGATGGGTGTTAACAGAAATTTGCCTGGTAATTAGACCTGTTGGAATTGCCAAAAGTAAGATTAGGGGTCTCTGCCTATGGAGTGTGTGGTTCAGAAATAGGGATGAGCTTTAAGGAACATTTTAAGAGGACAGTGAATATCTAAGGATAAGCTTGTTGAAAAAAGGTAGGGGGATGTGAAGAATAGTGTAAGAATGTGGTTCAAAGGCAGTAATTGTTCTTTTGCTCAGAAAGAAAATTTCAGGGTCCTTCTTTTGCCTGCCAAGGATTGAAAGATGAACTTTGAAAATTACAATGTATAATTCTTGTAGAAAATGTTCATGAAAATTACAGTGTATAATTCTTACAGCGAATGTTCAATCTCCAGTCAAATATGAAATTGGAGCTAATTAGGAGATAACTAGAATTATAAGACTTCAGATTCAGCACCATTAGGAGTACTGGGTGATAAAACATGAAATCATTGCTAGTTATAAATCTCAAGTCATTTCCTTGTAATATTTAAAATGGAAATTTTCCTCCCTTAAATATGACTGTGGAAAACAAGTATCTTTATGTTGGACCCATTTATTTAATAACTTTTGACATCTCTAGTAGTTAACAGTTAGGCTGCCTTATTCATAAGCCAGAATTTTGTCACATTTCAAAAACTAGGTTTTGTCGTGCATATAAATAGCATATTCCAAAACAATGGGTTTTGCCTGGGCTATAGTTTAACTCTGAGCTGTATTTCCCTCTCAAATAAGGCATTGTCATCCTCAAGCTTTCAAATTCTGTATTCTTATTCATGTAAGTATGTATCAAAATGTCAGTTCACTTCTTTCCTAGCATTAAGAGTTCTTTTTTAATAGCTATATTGTCTCACTAGCTCTTCTTAGGTCAGGAGAGACACTTCTGTTTTATCACTTGCTTCATTAGAATAGTTATGTTCAGAACTATATTATCACTCTTTAAATTGTCTTTTTAGGAGTCCTTCAATAATGTTAAACAGTGGCTGCAGGAAATAGATCGTTATGCCAGTGAAAATGTCAACAAGTTGTTGGTAGGGAACAAATGTGATCTGACCACAAAGAAAGTAGTAGACTACACAACAGCAAAGGTATGTTTCAAGTTTGACTTTCAGACTGAATTGGAAGGTACTGAATTTTAATTTTATATGGGTTTAGTGTCACACAGTGGCTGTAGCCAACTTCGCTTTTATTAAGTTTTCCAACCAGAGATTGAACCCATGCCCCCATATATTGGAGGCATGGAGTCTTCACCACTGGACTGCCAGGGAAGTCCCCACCTTAACTTTTAAAAATACATGCACTAGAAACTTTCACAATGATGAATTGCATTGTCTTATCTGAGTTCAGTAAACTTAAGTCATTCATCATTCCTTATTTCAGATGGTGAAAAAGATTTTTCAATTAATTTTGCCTTACATATTCTCTTAGGAATTTGCTGATTCCCTTGGAATTCCATTTTTGGAAACCAGTGCTAAGAATGCAACGAATGTAGAACAGTCTTTCATGACGATGGCAGCTGAGATTAAAAAGCGAATGGGTCCTGGAGCAACAGCTGGTGGTGCCGAGAAGTCCAATGTTAAAATTCAGAGCACTCCGGTCAAGCAGTCAGGTGGAGGTTGCTGCTAAAATTTGCCTCCGTCCTTTTCTCACAGCAATGAATTTGCAATCTGAACCCAAGTGAAAAAAACAAAATTGCCTGAATTGTACTGTATGTAGCTGCACTACAACAGATTCTTACCGTCTCCACAAAGGTCAGAGATTGTAAATGGTCAATACTGACTTTTTTTTTATTCCCTTGACTCAAGACAGCTAACTTCATTTTCAGAACTGTTTTAAACCTTTGTGTGCTGGTTTATAAAATAATGTGTGTAATCCTTGTTGCTTTCCTGATACCAGACTGTTTCCCGTGGTTGGTTAGAATATATTTTGTTTTGATGTTTATATTGGCATGTTTAGATGTCAGGTTTAGTCTTCTGAAGATGAAGTTCAGCCATTTTGTATCAAACAGCACAACCAGTGTCTGTCACCTTCCATGCATAAAGTTTAGTGAGATGTTATATGTAAGATCTGATTTGCTAGTTCTTCCTTGTAGAGTTATAAGCGGAAAGATTACACTATCTGATTAATAGTTTCTTCTACTCTGCATATAATTTGTGGCTGCAGAATATTGTAATTTGTTGCACACTATGTAACAAAACAACTGAAGATATGTTTAATAAATATTGTACTTATTGGAAGTAATATCAAACTGTATGGTGATAAGTATTGTTTTAATTCTTATGGCTAAAGGGAAATAGAGCCTTGCATTATACTCAAAACAGCCATTTGTGTGTGCAACCAGGGCATTGTAGACCTATTTTAGAGCAGCATCCAATATGCTTTCCAGATAATATACCCAGTAAATGACCTAGGGAGGCTTCTGTGCTGCACAGGGATTTAACCAAGCTTAGTGGTTCAGGGAGATTAAATTGTATGAAAATAAGTTTTAGAATGTATGCTACATAGCCTATTATCTCTGATCCTTCTCTAGAACCATTTGAAATGGCTTCATTGATCAACACTTGATTCTTCTGTGGTAGAGGTGGAAAACACCTTTCCTTAATTGGCAGACTAACATGTGTGCTAATATTGTTTCTTCCATGTTTGGAGTCCGATGTCAGCTGTTTTATCCTCCACAATTGTATACCTTAGGTTGGAGGCGAGTTAAAGCATTTAAGTAGGAAGCAGGACATTTACTATTTGCCCTAATATGTCCCTTAAAATTAGCTGAAAACATGAATGCTGGGCGGGAGTGATAAATGAGAGAAATATTTATTTCAGTCGAATTTTGCACATGTGAAAATTTTGTTAACTAGGACCTGAAAGATCCTAGGGTTTGTTTTTATTGTGGGGGAACAAAAATCTTTTGCTAACTCTGGCATTTTAAGGTGATAGAAGTCAGATTGTTTCCTTGGGGTTGAAATAGTAACCAAAATATTCTTTACTTAGGGGCGTGGGATGTGGCTGTTGGCTACACATTTTATGGTGGGGTCTTTAATTCAGTGATAAAACTTAAAAACAAGCCAAAAATTATAGGTTTCTTTATTTTCACTAAACAGGCAATTGAAATACATGGTACAAAAATAAGTGGTAAGATTATTGTAAAATGAAATGGACAGAATAAATATTCAATTTAATTTTCCATCTATGAGAATTTCACAATAAAATCACAGTTTACTTTGTATTATAGATGTGCTTGTTGGGTCTATTCATCTTCACATAAGGCAACTGAAAAACTCCTCAAGCTACCAATAGTTATTTGGGTGAAATTTTTTTTAATGCTTCAAAAGGGTTTTTTTGCCTTATCAATACAGTACAAATAATTTAGAAATATTTTTTAAGTAGATGATACAAATTTCAGACAATGTAATGCACTTTTGTTTAATACAGCAAGTTGTTCAAACTGTCAGCTTTTTCTTGGTGAGTTAGCAAAAAAATTATGTGAATTTGAGGTGTAAGCATATTTACATATTTATTTTTTAAAATTCTAGTGTTCTTTTCCTTGTGGTAGTCAAGGCTGGGACAAGATGTTTCAGCATGCTTCACTACTCACTTAATAAATGAAATTTTGGGGGAAAATACTCCCATTCCTACCCCCATTTTCAAGTACAAATATTTCAAGCTATATTATTATGGGCTTTTAATAATCCAGTCACTCGAATTACTGCTGTCCGTGTTTTGTAAGTGGTTGCTATGAATTAGCTCACATGTTCTAAACCTAAGCAGTCTCTGGTAATCCTTGCAAAATGATAGCTATTCTGGTTTAAGCAATGACTTTTTTTGACTTCGGACCAAAATTTCCTTTAGCATGTATGCTTGTCATTGCAACGTATTTTACATCTGCCCTTCTTGTATTCCCATTTAAGCTTCAAAATAGTATTGTACTGACACTGTCTACTATTTGCAGATGAGCTTAAGCCATGGAGCTGCAACAAGAACCCAGGTTTTGAAACTGCCAATCTAGCTCCCAGTACTGCCACTTTCCTGTGGACTTCAGTTCTACTACTTTAAGGGGACTACTAGGAAATTATACTACAGGTAAACTTGGGATTTTGTAACTACATACCGTGTCACTGTAAGCCACTGCTGTCCTTAAGGCTAACATGTACCACAGAGCACTGGCCAGCTAGGCTACCAGAATCAAACCTGGCCGTGTTTGCTCACGAAATGCTGCTGGCGGCATCTTCTAGTCAGAAACAATTTCCGCTTGAATTTTAAGGGAGGTCTTATACCTATAGCACTGCTGAAGATACCATTAATAGCTGTCCTGATACTCTTTGGTGATATATTCATGAGTAGGTCCAGAGTAGGCAAAGGAAGTGAACAAAAATATCTTTAGATCATTGCTTGGTAAAATAGTTTACAAAATAGGGTACTCTGAAATAAAATATTCTGTGAAAATTTCTGTCAGCTGAAGCTAATTATTAGATTGGCACTTTCAGCATTCAACTACTAGAAATACCATTGGTCACTTGGAAGATGACAGTCCTATAGAAACAGTTCTTTTGCTAACTAGTTAAGGCATTTTCATGCCTAGCAAAATGTTTGTAAATAAATGGGTTTCACTCCCAAGGGCTTGTCCTGTAACACACTCATTGGAAAGGCATGTACCAATTTATAGTCACATCAAAGAGAAGGTGATATATATCAGTTTAAGAACAGAGGCTATTAGATATGCCTTCTTAACCAATTAAGGCCGTTACGGCTATTTTACATATATAATAATCTGCTAGGAAGGTGTTTTGTCTTTTTAAATCTATGTACAGAACCAAGATTAAAACTGAGACAGCAGAATCAAAATTATGCCCTTAAGCATTTTGATAAATACTAGAATGGCAGAGGCACTTGAAATACTCCATTTTATATAACTGCTACTGAATTTTATAGTTTCCCTTTAGAATTAAAATCTTTAAACATTAAAACTTATTAACAGCTTATTTTCCAGTTTAAACTCCTTAGGATTTTAGTTCACAGAGGTGGATGAGATGGTGTTAAGTGGCTCAGCCCCCCAAATTAAAGTTCTAAGCTTCTCTTAAAGAGGGTAATTTCTATTAAGTATTTTATTCTGAGGGGATATCAGAAGGCTCCTTTATGAAAGCAGCTGTTCTAATGTTACCTGCTCTGGGTTCAGGTGATTTGTCCATTTCTTTATAAAGTATCTTCCTTTCTTAAGCACCCTCCTCCTCAAGTGAGAACCTAGAGTTTGAGAAAGGATCTTGACTTTCTTGAAGTGTTGATCACATATTTAATTGTGGAGAACCCTTTCCTCAGGTCGTAGCCTACTGGAATACAAGTACACAGGGAAAGTGCTTTCCTCCTTCCATGTGCATTCACAGCCCAATAAAACATTTTTAAAGCACTTATTTGTTTTTGCAGAATGTGTGGTTACCAGCAGTGGCCAATCATTTTACTTTAAAAAGCTACAGAGTTGGCTTTAAATAGTTGCTTCTGGGTCGTCCCCCCCCCCCCCAACAAGGTACTTACATGTTAACTCCCAAAGCAACAAATAATTCCCTTTTTTCCTCACTATGAACAGCCTTAGCTTCTATAGTTATTTAACCAGGCTGTGTGAGCCTATCCATGCTCTTCTCTGACTCTTCACAGGGAGGAGAGGAGGATGCCTCCTCCTGGAGGTACCCTGAAGGCAGATCATAGTGGACTGAAGCTCAGTAGCAGCTTCTTAAGCCCCTATCACATTCTCCCTTAAAATGTTGGGCAGGCAGATGGAGCCCTGAGCACTTATGATAAAAGGTATCTTAGCAGCCCAAACTAATTTGCAGAGGTTCTATTTGTTCAAAACTTTCTATTATTTTGGAGAGTTTGAGTGTCTTCTACAGTCTTCAAAGAGTGATTTATAAGCCTATGTTTCGCTTTATGAAAAGATCCAAGTTCCTGGCTCACCAGTCACCTTTTTGTCTCTTGGATCCTCTTGTATGCCTGAGCATACCAAGTACTGGGTACCTTCTTTCTCATACCAGCCTTCTTTAAATGATCTCAGTACACGGACTAGTTTAGGAGTTCTGTCTCCTCTTTTTAACTGGACATAGGGAGAGGAAATCCTGTAAGCCATGTTGGCATTATTTTATCAACAACTGGAAAACTACATGCTCTTTATAAGAAGCACCAAAGGAAAACCTTAACTGGGAAGGACTCATTTTAAATAAAAACAGTAATTCAGCAGCCCTTCCCTTCAGGGAAGAGCTAGCATTTTAAAGCTAGTACATTAGAGTCACATTTCCCCCTTGATTTCAATATTAAATAGCTCTCACAAGGACTTCCGAAAGTTTCCCAACAGCCACATTTTGACTGACAGACTATTACATCTCTTCCAGAGAAGATGCCTAAAAGAGAAAGAGAAGCATCTGTTACAGGCAGAATGCTGCAGAGGAAGTGACATGGCAATCATCTGCATTCATTTTAGTATTAAAATAACTACCTAGATTTATTTGATGCAAATACAGGGACTCCCTGCTCCTGACGTACCTGGATTTATCCCTTACCTTCTTTTATCTACAGTGAATTCTCACTCAGGAAATCTGAGTTAAATGCCAGGTTTTGGCTGTAGGAGAAGTTTCAGAAGCAGCATGCTCCAGCTGTGGCATCATGGTGTGGGGCAGTGGTAGCCCCACAGTGGGCAGCAGTCCCTCTGCTCTCAGCTTCTGTTCCTATCTGTGACATCTCCAAGGCCTGGTGCGCTCATCTCTCCATCCCCTAACCTTTTTTTTGGAGGGGAGTGGTGTGTGATGCTTACAGAGAGCAATTTCCAGGAAAAGATGTAGGGAGTTGTAACTTAGGATCCCTGTGGCTACTCAGCACTGTCAAGAGTTGCTTACAGATGGAGCACCACACGAGCTGGGTGGGAAGAGCCTACAGCATAGAGGCAGCCTGTACCGGAGAAGCACATGTGCACAGACATAAAAAAGTTGGTACAGGTGAATTCTACAGTTCTTTCCATGGGTGGGGAGGGGTGACACGTCAGCCATTTAAGATGGAAGCACAGAGCAGCCTAGTCCTCAGCAGGCACAGGGCTGCAAGTGAGCAATGGAACGTGCCGCTTTCATCATCACAGAAAGCGCCGCACCCCAGCCCCACTTCCTGGCAATGGGAGCATCTCCCCTTTTCAGTTCCAGCGGCTTCTCCCAGCCTCTCATTTGTTTCAGTAGGTCTTAGTTCAAGAAGCTTCTAAGAAACAGCCAACTATTAGAGGAGAGCTCTGTTCCAGAATCAGGCACTGGGGTCTCAGGACAAATTTTCTCCTCTGGGGTTGCTCTACTCACCAGGCTAATACCCTTCACACTGGCGCTCCTATGCGCCGTTGGCGTGCTGTTGGGAGTGAGGGTGCAGCCGGCCAGCGTGTCTAGGGAGGCCAAGATGGTGTCGTACAGGCGATCCGCGTGGCTCTCCAGCGCGCTGGGCTGCCTAGAGATCCTGCCCAGGACATCCTTCAACACTAACAAACGAGTTTTAAAGCAGTAAGGCCAAAGAGACAACACAAGTGTACCTTCAAGGAATATACCAGGGGGTAGCAGAAAACAGGAACATGGCAAGTTTCACAATGTCCACTTAAAAAAATACTCCCCCCCCAGACTGAACTGCACTGCGGAATCTATGTTTTTAACTTGTGATTGATGCTGAATTATTTCACTGGCTCCACTCTGTGGAGTTACACAATTCACAAAAATGCAGAGAGACATGGTTGTCTGATGACTGGTATTATCTGACTTTTAGAGATAAGACCCCTGGCTCACACCCAGATCCTGTGGGGCTGAAGTCTGAAATGAAAACAACATGCCACCATGAGGACTCCGGGTCCTGCTACAGGTCCAATCAGCTTATGTTGCCTGTGGGACTGTCATTTAGCACATATATGGGTGATGCGGTAACGTAACATGGGATTGCTTGTGAACCCTTTTTGGTGGGTCCTAAATGAACAGACGTCAAAAGATTACCTGAAAGCAGGCTAAGACAAGATGGTTCATGAGGCCAAGATTCCAACCCCTACAGGCCAAGTATTTGAGGGAGGGAGGGACCAGGTTCAGAGTGCATCACACACAGCAGGCTTGGTTTTTTTTCTTTTAAAAACTTGACTTCCTTTGTTAAACACAAAGGCTGCTTTTGCTTCCTGTGCCTTTTATCAGCTGTGTTCACCCTCTCCCTAATTTCCTGCCACAGCTGCAACATCTGTGAGCAGAGGAAGGGAAAGGGGAAGCTGAGTTATCTGCAGAGGATGCCGATGGATGGGCGGAAGGAGGAATAGGCTGTGGAGGTTAGCCCCTAGGGAAGCCACAGCGGTGCAGCGTCATCCGGGCAAATTGCCAACCTGATAACTTAAGAGCAGCCAGCAGGGCCGGCCGAGGAACTCAGCCAGGGCACGGCACCGCTCACCTGTAAGGGCGAGCGGGTCAGGTTCCCTCCTCCAAGCTCACCAGTCGTGTGAACAGTCCTGGGTGGGGTCGGTGGGATTCAGGGGGCCTGTAGTTTTTTAACTTTTATCTTAAAATGTTAGGACATTTGGTTGGGGCCAAACAAAAGGAAAGCTGGAACAGTGATAAAAGTCTTTCCCAGTTGAGACTTCGATGTTTTCATTGAATACATGCCTGGTTCAGCTTGATGTTAATAGGTTCTAGTTGTCTGATCTAGGATAATCAGGTAGGGTGTAAGGCAGATCTGCTACTTCATGCACCAAGGTAACCGGGCCAAAATGTAGTGAAAACTTGCCAGATAACTACAGGAAAACCCTTTAGCTGGAGGTGAGATGAACACGTGTTGAAGGAATTAATTTGACCTGTCCCTCAGGTTTTGCACGTGGCTGAAGATGAAAGCGGGCTCTGAAGAAGTTTGCGGGGACTGGGGTGTCCATGCTTGGGCTCCACTGACTCTTGACAGTGTGATCTGGAGGGAAGAGTTGTGCGCCTAGCTGAAGACCCTGTGTATGTCTAGGGGAACCTCTGATTTCCACGAAACAGCCAAGTTCCTGATTAGCGCAAGCAGAGAATTGGGAGGGGCATGGTGTCCATCTGAATGAGCCTGGATACAGATCTGAAAACCACAGAACTCCCCAAAGCATTTTTTTTTCTTTTGGCCATGCATAGCTTGTGGGATCTTAGTTCCCCAATCAGAGATTGAACCTGGGCCTACAGCAGTGAGAGCGCTAGCTCTTCCCCTCTGGACCACCAGAGAATTCACTAAAAAAAAGTCTCTTATTTAGGCAGTAAAATACCTCTAGACTCCTCTGGAGAGAAGAGCAGAGGGGGACATCATTACCGGTTAAGTATTGAGAAGTATTACTGAGTCAATTTTTAAATGAAGGTCCAAGAACAACCTGTAGCTTGTAAGAAGCCCTCTGTTACATGTGGCCTCCAGGAAATTTCCTGGTGCTGAGTTCTTTATACTACTGTGTGTGTGGAGGTGCAGGAGCCTGAGTGGGGTGTCAGCGCATAGGGGCTGGAGTCAGGCTGCCACGCCCCGTGTGGCCCCATGCAGTCAGCTCTGTGAAGTCAGAGTATGAACTGCCCACCTCACGAGGCTGTGGCAGTCTGCACATAGTACTCAAGACAGTGCTGGTGTAACAAGTGGCAAAGGAGCCTGGCATACCACATTTCTGCCCCGATAAAAACTCTTAATGCAAGAGCACAGTGGATGAGCCAAAGCAAAGGTGTCCCCAGGGCAAGGGATTGTCGTGGGCTCACGTGAATGACAACGGGTTAAGTCGTGCCCTGCTGAAAACCCTTCAGTGGCTGCCCCCAGCAAAACCCCTCTGCCCATGCTCAGTTTTCAGTCCTGGTGGTGTTTTCCTTCCCAGGGGACACCTGGCAGTGTCTGGAGATGTTTGGGGTTGTCAAAACCAAGGAGGTATACTACTGGCATCTAATGGGCAGAGGCTGAGGACGCTGATAAACATGGTGCGACAAGAGGATAGCTGTCCTCGTGACAGAGTATCACATGGCCCAGAGTGTCAGAGGTGCTCAGGCTGGGACACTTCGCGCCACCTCCCTACCACACACCCACCCACCACTGCTGGTCAGGAAAGCGCCACCTCTTCCCTTCTCAAGCCAGTGGGTCCTGCCCACTGTTGTTTACACTGTTTTGCTTCCAGTGTAAATCCCATTTCACTCCAAAACTGAGGCAGAACATAGATGGGCTTTTTCAGCATTTGCTTGCTCAGTCTTACAGAAAAATAGGGACTGCTTTGAGGGGTCTATCAATTCCTTGCTTTAACTTAGCATTCTCCTGTCATATTCATCCTATCATACTTGCCCTCAGCAAGGGCAAGGCCAACTGGAAACACCTGCACCCTGAGATGCACTCTCAGAGTCTGATTTTCACGCCTTCCTAATCTGGGAATCCATCCTGCAAAAGGGGCTCAAGCTTAGTTTGTGTACCACTGTCCATCTGTCCCTTTCTCATCAGTTCACTTCTTCCTTCTGTCTCTTCCCATAGAACAGACTGACTGCTCTGGAACTGACTGTCCTGGAACAAATCCTCTCCCAAAGCAGATAACCAGAGAGGGGTCCAGCCTGCAGGGCAAAAAGGAAGGGAGCCCTGCAGGCTCCTCACTGTGTCCATGGCTCCCCTAAGCTAAGGGGATCTGGACTAAAGCCAGCATTCCCACCAAGGACTCCACCAAGGAAAGGCAGCAGCTTAAAGAGCACTATTCTTGGGACAGCCCAGGTGGTTCAGTGGCTGGGACTCCGTGCTCTCAAAACAGAGGCCTTGGTTTGATCCCTGGTCAGGGGACTAGATCCCACATGCAGCAACAAGGTTCACATGCTGCAGCTAAAGCTCCCGCATGCTGCTAAGACTGGGCACAGCCAAATACATATTAAAGAAAAGGAAAAAAGGTGCATCGTTCTTGCAGGCTCAATGCCTGACTTCTCACACCCGCAGGGCTGTGACTGCCTCATCACGTGTTTGTGGGGCCATGAAGACGCGAGAGGCTGGCAGTCAGCTGTGGGAGTTGAAGCCAACGGGTGTGGACATGAGGGATTCTTGTATTACTGGCTCCGCCTGGTGACAGAGTGGGTCCCGGACTTGCACTGAGAGGTATTAGGCACCGGCTCAATTAAAAACACAAGCATCTCACCTGGGGTATTATCCAGCAGGCTCTGAAGCAGGACCTCCCCTTTCTGTAAGACACTCTCCGTCAGGGACTGGTGTTCATCTATATCTTTCTTAAATTGCTTAAGAGCATAACAGAAAAAAACAGGGAAAAGCTTCATTACCACCATTTCATAAAAGTCATTAAAAAGGATCTTTTGTTTGGTAGTTGGACTCCCCTTTAACCCACCAGTCTTCAGAATTCCCCAAGTAAACAGTACAGTAGTTTAATTTCATCTTCTTTGAGCCCAAGGCAAATCCAGAGTCAATCCTTTTTTTTTTGTTTACAATTTGACAAAAGCAGAGTTTTCTTTTCCCTGGCAGAACCTGGCTCCTGAGCTTGGAGGCAGGGATTCCTGTGTGTGCTACACCTCACAAGGTCCCCTTTAAGCTCACGGGCCTGTTGAGACTGTTTTCCATTCTAGTGGACCTGGTCAGAGCCACCAGAGGCGCCTTCAGTATGACCACAGGTAGCAGCAGTCGGCCCCTTGTCCTCCCTCTGTCCCGCTCTCTGGACCTGAGGCCATGGGAAGGCGTCAGGGAAGCTGTGAGTCTCCTGAGCAGTTGATTTCTCTTCCCCTTGCAGTACCAAGCCTTGTAGCTCTTTCTGGTTTTTCCTTCAGCTGCTAAGATGTAAAGTCATATCCATGACCACCTTCAGCACAGGGTGCAGTTCACATTTTGAAGTTGCAGTTTTACTTTTGGATTTACTATATTCCTGTCTTGTTTTCGTTTGCGTATTCACCTGTATTTATTATTTTCTTCTTTAGTACTCTGCAGTTTATATGCTGCCACATACCCACTGTGTTAAGACAAAATACACAAGACAGGGTCACAAATGAAAAATGTGTGAACCAGCATACATGTGCTTAAATCTGGTATCTAAGTAGGCTTGAGGCAGCTCACATGTGGGCATGAGCCAAGCACAATTCTGTGTGGAGCAGCGCTGACTGAGGTCCCACACAGTTGTGTGGATGACACAAGCAGGCTAGGCTTCGCTAACCTGCAGTAACTCCCAGCTCAGATCTCAGCTCTACCCACAAAGCAAGACAGGTGCATGTGACCGGCCCGGGAGCGGAGACACGCAGAGGACAGGAGGAGGGATAAAATGGGAAGAACAGAGTTGCTATGAGACACCTGCTCTGAGGGGAATGGGGCAGAGGCCCTCTAGAAAGGCCACCCCGGTAGGTCCAGACTCCAAGCAGTGTCCTCTCTCATGGTGGCCAGCACGGCCTGGGCCTCCTGGGGGCGGGCCCTGCACGGCTCTGCATGGAGGGCCCTCACACTCAGCCTTCCTCTCCTCTCCCAAGCGCCCTCTGGGAAAGGAACTCTGGCAACCACTGTCCACTCAGCAGGAAGCAGCATTCCCACGAGGGTAGGGAAGCTGGCCCACCCAGGCAAGGCCTTGCCCCTAAATTTTAGTTGGCTCCAAGTTGGAAAACAAAGGGTCCCCCCTCTTGCCTGGGTGTGGAAGGAGCTCTGAGTTGGGTGGTGTGGCCCTGGCTTGGTCACAAGTAAATCACACACTCTTCTCCTGAAAGAACTGTCCCAGAAAACTGGATTAAACCAAAAGTTCAGGCACAACACTACCTCTGCTCCTTTGGAAGAGGTGACAGAAAGACTTGGTCAGCCAGACAGGCATGTTTTAAGTCAGCAAGTGGTTCAGTCGATGTGAATATCAGTATCAACTAATATCAGTATCAACTGATATCAGTATCAATTGATACTTTATCATCAAATTCAGAACACTTCTGAGAATGAAGGGGGCCTACTGATAATTATGCCAGAACAGCACAAAATGTCACAAAATACACCCATTACAAAGTTAACCAGGACCCACAAAGAGATAGTGAACAGAATCTAAAAAGAGGTAACCCCTACCCCCCAAAAAATACCTTGAGAAGCAACCTGGGTCATATTTTGGTTTAAATACCATCAAAATGCCTTGTGTGTATTCTGGAGTCAGTGCAATTCAGCTCAAATCCTTAAAATACTAGTCAGGGCTGTCCAACAGTTTTCTGTGATGATGGAAATGTTCTAAATGCTCTGTTCAATATGGTAGCCACGAGACAAATGTGATGACCAAACACTTGGAATGTGGCCAGAACTGAAAAACCTAATCTTTTAATTTTACTTAATAGTCTTGTGATTTCCTAACAATGCAGCTCTCTGCCTATCAATCCCTGAAACATTTGGAAAGTGAAAGTCACTTAGTTGTGTCCGACTCTTTGTGATCCCATGGACTGTAGTCCATGGAATTCTCCAGGCCAGAATACTGGAGTGGGTAGCCTTTCCCTTCACCAGGGGATCTTCCTAACCCAGGGTTCGAACCCAGGTCTCCCACATTGCAGGCGGATTCTTTACCAGCTGAGCCACAAGGGAAGTCCAAGAATACTGGAGTGGGTAGCCTAGCCCTTCTCCAGGGAATCTCCCCGACCCAGTAATCGAACCGGAGTCTCCTGTATTGCAGGCAGATTCTTTACCAACTGAGCTATCAGGGAAACCTGAGACATTTGGAAAATCACATTGCAAAAAATCCTGAAGTATTCTGGATTGAAGATAAATAAAATGCACTTTCTTCAAGCTCTACTTGGTCTGGGAAGTAACTCCTACATGTTAAGTTTTTCAGCATTAAGGATTTGAAAAGAATTAGATTTCTGGGAAGATCTCCGATTAGATTTCAGGTAAAAGTCAATGGATCATGACATAATGTGCATCAGTCATTTGAACTTTTACTTTCTAAGCAAGTAATTTACCACGACTCTTGTTAGTGAACAATCAGAAACCAGGACCACTTATTACCCGGTAAAGCTGCAGGGAAGACTTGAGGCCCGTAAGGCTGGATCTGGGTGCAATGAGGTGGTCAGTAGTGTCTGCAACGTTATACAGCCAGTGGATCAGCTCTTCCAGCTGACAACAAAATGTCTGTGTAGACAAAGAAATCGTGTGTCACCCATGGAACCACAGGCTACATTTTCACAGGCTAAAAATATCTGGGGGCTCCCAGACTACAGGCTGCACCTTTCCAGAGCATTCCCCACCAAGACGTTGTTTCCTCTCTGCTCCCGGCCTGTCCCCACCCCGTGACTCCAGACCTCTGCCAGGGTAACATGGAGGGCTCACCCTGGCTCTGTCCCCCATCTGTGAAGGGCCAGCCCTGTGTGCAGGGGCAAAGGAGGGCACGTGAAGGGAGAGAGTTGGGGGGAAGAACGGCCCAGAAGGGACCTGCCCGACACAGAGATCACTTCCTCGGTCAGCACCGTACTGGCTGTACAACTGCTCCTGGGGACGACATGGACACAGAATGAGGGCCCGTGACCAAGACTGACCTGATCCTACACCTGAAAACTGAACTAAAGCTGCTTGTCCCTGTCTGCTCCTACCCGCCCAGGGAGCTGGGTCCCAGACTCCTGCGAGCCACTCGCCAGGGGGCTGTGAGCCCAGGCCTGTACCCCACAGTTTCGATCTTCCACATGCTAACACCCGTACCACCTGCTTCACAGTACAAATAAAGTCCACACGACACCATGGGGCAGGTTAAAGCCCTCCTTGAGAGCTAGAAAACAACTGTGATGCCGCTCTTGGGGACACAGCCCTCGGCTGGTTGCCTTGCTGCCATATGGACACATCATCTGGGTGCTCAGGCTTGAGGCAGGCCCTGGGCTCTCCCAATGGGTGGACAGCCACGCACCTGAACATCCTTATGTGAGGGGCTGTGCAAGGTATGTGACATGAATTATTTCATTTAACCCACACGATGACCAAAGAGGCAAAGCTCCACACCCTACCAACAAGCAAAGTAAAGAGATGGAGCCAAAACTCACAACTACCTGATATTGACAACCCTATTCCATGCAGTGTTAGCTCCACCTCCTGATATTCTCAGATGGTCCACAAGAGTCTAGCAAGTCTAGGCAGTAGTGTACCTGACCCTCTCAAATCTGCAGTTACAGCACTGTATCAAATGAAAGTTCTGGGAAGTCTTTTGGCCAAAAAAACACTTTCACTGAGCCTGTACTTCCTGAAGGCATCTGAGCACAGGTCCCTCCTGTGCAGAGGGCCTCTTGACCCTCGAGGTGAAGCGCCCTGGGGGCAGCCTGGGGACTGGTTGGCACAGGCTCTACTCTCACGGTCCATGAAGGTGCAGGTTACCTAACACCTCGCTGCCTTTTCCTCCAACGGTGACAAGAGAACGCCAGCGGTCATCAGGATTGCACAGAAGGCGCAGTACAGTGCCTGGCACCTAAGTGCTCAATGTTACCAAGCTTCACCAGTGGACAAGGGGAAGAAAGGCAGCGGTGCTGAAACGCCGAGTTTACCTGCACGCACTGCACGAGTGACTCTCGTCCCTGCTCTCCACCCTTCCTGGGAGGCTGCCCTTCAGCATCTGGATCCAACACTGCCGACCAGGAGGCGCGTGTTCTCACTGGTCCAGAGGAGGCCCCCAGGGCCTGGCCGCTCACCAGACTGCCCTCCCCAGCAGAGCGCCTGGCATGGGCGAAGGAGCGCAGCAAATGGTGCTTCTGGTCCTCAGCGCTCCAGGACCCTCTGAAGGTAGCCCTGGAGGGAAGCTGGCTTTGGCTGGAGTCTGATGGGAGGGAAGCTGGCCCATCACTGTCCGACACATCCAGGGAGCTCTGCCCTCCAGCGGCATCCGTGGACAGGGGCACGGAGGTGGGAATGGAGCCCAGATACGAAACCAAGCTAGAAACCTGTGTCAGCCGAGTGGGTAGGGCCAGATACTCGTCGTCACTTTCCACCTCCTCTTGTGGTTTCCATCCAGACTCCGTGCAGGCGAGGCGCCCGAGGCCCTGGCCGGCCCCCTTCTCCCTCTCCAGCCCGGGTGAGGGCCACCCTCTGTGCCGTGTCCTCAGGTGTGGAGAGCCCAGCTCAAGGTGCCTGCCCACAGGTGGCCAGTCCCTCAGGTTCCTCCGGGCGGGCTCTCTGCTCACCCAAGGAGGGGCCCTACCGCCTGGGGCTCTGGGGGTAGAGGCAAAAGGGCTGCAAGAAGCTGACCCCACACCACCCTGCTTCTGGGGTACTCCAGAGGGCCCCCGCTTAAGGCTTGGCTCTCTGGGCCCAGAGAACCGCAGGGGGGCAGCCTCGGCGGGTGGGCAGCTGTGGGAGACGTCAGTGGGTGACCTGAGGGTGCTGGCCGGGGACACGGAGAAGCTATCGAGGTCTACGCCTGAGTCCTGCAGGACGGGCTCAGCCAGCACGGGGCTCTCGAGCTGCTTCGGGAGCCGGGGCCCGGGCCTGAGCGGGTAGGTGTAGTCCAGCAGGTCTTCGTACTCTTTGCTCGGGTCCCACAGTGGGGAGCGGCGGTCTGGGGAGGGAGGCAGGGCGTCGGGCAGCACACAGGCCCAGTACTCGGCCTGGAAGGAGAGGCGTCTCCTGCCCAGCCCGGGGGCATCCCCCGCTGAGGACACGGGCTGCGGCGACCACTGGAGCCGAGGCCCAGGGCCTACCGCTGAGGGGGCTGACGGCGGGACAGCCAGCTCCAGGCAGGAGGAAACCTTGGCGAGGCAGCCACCCCGAGGCTCCGCCTTTTCCTGGTGACCCTGGAGACTGCTGCCAGGGGAGGAGGCCGACACGCTGCAGCTGGAAGACAGTGGCGCGGGCATCCCCGGGCTCACGGCTGACCTCCACCTCGACGGGCATGGCAAGTCTGGGATGGGAGACTGTGGGCAGAGCTCTGGCACCTGCGGCGACTCCACAGGGGACGGGTCGTCTTCGGCGTCAGCATCGTCTCCCGAGCAAAGAGCGGCAGCTCTGGGAATGGCGCGAGTCCGAGATGGCGCCTCCACCTCTGGGGCAGGAAGCCTGGTCTCCTCCACCTAGTGACAGGAGGGAAGGAAAAGGTCAGACAGGTGAGCCAGACTTCTCTCCTCGGGGACAACTCGGGGGTGGTTTTGGGGACCCAGATGATCCAGAGGAAAGTTGTGGAAAAGAAGAGCCTGCTATCTGGTTTGAGAGTCAGACTCAGCGAGGGTGCGGCTGGAGATGGAGACGAGGGGGCAGACGGTCCTCCCGGAGCTGATCCCCCAACCCCCACCACCAGCCTTCCCCCGTTCTTCCTGCACAGACGCCTCGTGCGTCAGCGAGCAGAACTCAAATAGCTCTGTTGTGCAGGAGCTGGAACACGCTGCCTAACCTCGGAGAAGCGCGCCCTGGGCAAGCAGGACCTCAGTAATTCTGTTGCTGACAGGACACACATCCGAACCTGGCAGGCAGGCAGCCCATCAGGCCCCACCCGGCTCGACTCACACCCAGCGGTGACTCAATAGTGGCAAAATGAGTCATTCACCCCAGCCTCCTCACTCAGACTTTTAATGGGCTCGATGAAGAGCCCACCCCGAAGGGAGGCAGGATGGCACAGAGCTTAGGGGGTGGGCTCTGGAACCAGCAGCCCTGAGGCCAACCCCTAGCTGCCAGCCTCACCTCCCTCACCTGCAACGTGGGGGTGGTGACAGGACCGCCTCCTCAGGCTACGCGGATTAGATGAGCTCCAGGGTGAACAATGGCAGCTCAACAAACAGCAGCGCCGCAACAAGCACCAGGCGGACACTCATAAACAGCCCGCCTCTGTGTTCGCTCACTGGCCGCCCACCTCACTGACTCAGGTGCCCTGAGCCTCACAGGGCCCCGGGCCCCTGGCAGGGGGGCCTAGCCTCTGTCTCCTCCCAGGCAGTCATGCTTAGAACCTCCTCATGTCACAGGGCCCCGGGCAGCACGTGGCAGCCAGTGCCACCATGACACAGCACAGATCGAAGCCGTCACCATGAAAGGTCCTGGCAGGCAGACCACCACAAGCTGTCAGAGTTGGGAGGGACAGGTCAATCGGGTAACCTTTCCCACTGTCCTGAGGGCCTGCAAGATCCGGTGGTTCGCCAGAGGTCAGAGACAGGAAGGACTCCCTGCTCCACATGACACCCACAGGCGAGGCTGCCTGTAGTCGGGGAAGCCCCTGAAATCCTCTTTGCCCAGAGACAGTGCTGCCAGGTCCGCGAGGGCCCAGTGGGATACAGCCCCCAGGAGCCCACGGCCCTGGACCCTTCTTCCCCACGTCTCCCCAGGGGCCCCGGAATGCCTCCACATCACCAAGTCAAAAACAGGACATGGCTCCCCCACTGCGGCTCCCCTGCCTGGCCTCTGGATGTCTTGGTTACAGCATCCCCAATCCTCAAAAGGTCACCAGTCACACTTCTGAGGAAGAGCAGATGCTGTGAACAGAGCTCTCAGCTGGCCCACCTGTCCATGTGAACCTGCAGAACAGAAATCAGCACATCCAAGCTACCAAAGCTCCCCCACCTCCCCGCCTCATACAGGTGCTGGGGCAGCTGTAAGATGGTGAGACAATGCTGGAGTGGACTCTCAAAGGACAGCCCCACTACCCTGGTGCCTACCTGGCTTCCCGCAGAGGGCAGATCTCCAGTCTCCAGGCTGGCAGGAGGAGTCATGCAACTGAGAGCGGGCTTAGACCCACCGGCTGCTGGCTCCCTGCTGGCCCCATTGGCCAGTGGCTGGCAGGTTCTGGAGAAGCCAGGGCCAACCCCACCATAGCAGGTAGGGCTGGGGAGCCCCTCGGTGCCCCCAACAGGGGAGGCGGGTCCTCCCTCAGCTTCCAGGCGTGGCGGCTGCTCCCCGAGCACAGGCCCTGCGGGGCTCAGCTCCTGCTCCCTGCGGCTCCAGCTCCCACAGGAAGGGGCCTTCTTGTCTGAGGATGCCTCCCCCTCTGCCTTTTCTTCTCCCAGGGCCATTGAGATGTCCCTGGGTCAGGGTTCTGCTGAAGCTTCAGCTCCCTACAAGATGGGAAAAGGAGAGAAAAAGATAAACTTCCTGCTTCTATGACCAAGAAACCTTTTATTTCTTAATAATTAAGACAAATATTTTTTTGGCCAAAAGAACAAATGATGGCCACTTCCTCAAAGAAAAACAGAGGTCTGGCTTTTCCTCAGCTCCAAACCCTTCCAAAGGGGACGTAGGAGCTGTTATCTCGTCCTCTGCTGTTATGTGGCTGCAGCAGCCCCAACAGATGCGCAGGAGGGTCAACACAAGTCCAAACCAGAGTCAAAGTCTGTGCTGCGTGCTAAGTCGCTTCAGTTGTGTCTGACTCTCTTCGACCCCATACACCGTAGCCCACCAGGCTCCTCTTGTCCATGGGATTCTCCAGGCAGGAATACTGGAGTGGGTTGCTATCCCCTCCTCCAGAGGATCTTTCAACCCAGAAATCAAACCCACGTCTATTATGTCTGCCTGCGTTGGCAGGTGGGTTCTTTACCACTAACACTGGGAAGCATGAGTCATGGTTTGGTCCTGCCTAAATTCACCCTTGTTGTGAGCCATAATATTTAAAAAAACCTAAGAGCATGGCATCCGGTCCCATCACTTCATGGCAAACAGAAGGGGAAAATGTGGAAGCAGTGACAGATTTCCTCCTCTTGGGCTCTAAAATCGATGCAGATGGTGACTGTAGCCATGAAATTAGAAGACAATTGCTTTTTGGCAGGAAAGCTATGACAAACCTAGACAGTGTGTAAAAAGGCAAAGACATCCACAGTCAAGGCTACAGTCTTTCCAGTAGTCATGTACGGATGTGAGAGCTGGACCATAAAGAAGGCAGAGCGCTGAAGAATTGATACTTTTGAACTGGGGTGCTGGAGAAGGCTCTTGAGAGTCCCTTGGAGAGCAAGGAGATCAAACCAGTTAATCCTAAAGGAAATCAACCCTGAATATTCATTGGAAGGACTAATGCTGAAGCTCCAATACTCTGGCCAGCTGATGTGAACAGCTGACTCACTGGAAAACACCCTGATGCTGGGAAAGATTGAAGGCAGAAAGAGAAGAGGGTGACAGAGGATGAGACGGTTGGACGGCTTCACTGATTCAATGACATGAACTTGGGCCAACTCCAAGAGATGGTGAGGGGCAGGAGGCTGGTGTGCTGCAGTCCAGGGGGCTGCAGTCGGACCCGACTTGGTGACTGAACACACAGTCACCTGTCTCTCTGGCCCAGCCCCAACGGGGCAAGGGGCCTGGCTGGGGCCCTCTCTCTGCCAGCGCTGCAGCAGCTGCGGTCACCACAGCCCCGCAGCAGGCAGGCGGCTCCAGCCTGGCCCCGACTGCTCTCCTCCAGGCTGTGGCTGAGCTCAGGGCTCCCACAGTGCCTGCTCTGCCGGCGAAGGAGAGGCAGTCGGGAAGCCACACCCTGGGCTGTGGAGCAGGTGGGCACTTCTCATTCCAAGGATGGCCAGAGCTACAGCAGCAACTGTCCTCCCGCTGACCTGGGTTAGGATTAACGGGTAACTGAGGGAAGCCACGGAAATGCGGGTGGATGACAATGGCAGTGGCCACGCGGTGCACACGCATGTGCCAACAAGACCGGAGTACACAGGGCGGGCAGCAGGGCGGAGAAGCGGCGTGAGCCCTTGGGACAAGGGAAGGAGCGGCCTGGCAGTTGGATCTGAGAACAGGGCCATTCCAACAGGAGCTTCAGGGACCACAGGGTGGGCCCTGAGCCTGAGTGCGCAGGTGAGGGCTCTGCTGGGAGCCAGGGCCAGATGAGGCTGGGATGAAAGCGGGCAGGAGACCTCCAGGACTGAACAAGGAGGCAAGCGAATGCAAGCGCCGAGGATTTGGGCAGCTGCCTGGAACGCACTGCCAACCTCAAAGCTAAAACCTGGCCAGAAACAGCCTCGTTTCCTCAGAGACAGGAAGGCACTGATGGCAACAGGAGGTGCTGGGGCAGCAGGGAAGCCTGAGCAGGTAGAGGCAGCCACGGAGGAGGCGCGTCCTGCTCGGCCCTCACACTGGAAACACCACTGGTGGGGACAGTGCTCCCGGAAAACAAGAGTGTCCTGCCCGGCCTGGCCGACTGGCGAGGCTTCAGTCAGCAGCGAGCCGAGAGCAGAACACAGGTCACGTGCACTCTTAGCACCTTCTCATGGCCATCGCGTGCACAGGGACTCAGCAGAAGAACGACTGCCTTGAACCGGTCACATATGGTTCAGATAGAGAATACACTGCACATGCAAGTCTCCCTCCCCTACGCCCAGAGGACACAGGCCACGTGGACAGCGCCTGCACACAGTGCATGGGGCAGGTCACCCGGTGTCATGGGGTGGGGCGGGGGGCTGCGAGAGACAGAATTAGTGAAGCAAGCCACCTTACAAGGAACAAAGGAGTCCAACAGAGGAAGAAAAGCAGCCAATTTTTCGTATCAATCAAGCAAAAATGTTTACCCCTATATAGTCCCACAAAAAAACCAGGTAGGTCTAATTAATGCTGTGTGTTTCTCATCTCTTGATGTATATGTAGACAAACACAAAAGTTTATTTCATCCTCCCCCACCAGCCCCTTTAACATAAAGGTAGTTAACTGTACAGGACATGCTGTTCAGAATCTTGCTTTTTTTCTTTTTTTAAATGAAATACTTTGGAGATCTTCCCTCAGCAATGCACAGTCAGCACCTTCTGGTTTCTGCCACCACACAGCACTGTACTCCACTGTAAGGATTCACGATAGCTTATTCCACCTACTGGTGGATATTTATGTGATTTCCAACCTTTTGCTACTAATGCTGTGATTAACAAGTGCACACGTGCGTGCACTCACCCCCCCCCCACCCCCGCACACATACTAGCACACCCACAGGATCAAGCCAGAGGAAACTGCTGAGGTGAAGGGGACTCACATGGGTACTTCAGACATCTGGTACACTCCCCACCTGTGGCCTGAGAGCACGCCAGTTTCCCACAGGAGGTGGGTCCTCTCATCCTAATTTCACAGAGCGGGGAAACCTTTCAGAGAGTCAAATCCAGGCCCGAGTGACTCCAGAACCCAAGCTCTTTATGCACCCACTGGGGAACAAGGTACCAAACAGACACAAAGCAGAGAGACTGGGAAGGGACCACGTCCCACAGGGAAAGACCTTCACGGAGCCACATCCTCATCTAGTGACTATTTAAGAGACGGCACATGAAGGTGATGACAGGAAAACTGTTTTCACAATTATAGCAACAAGCTGAGCCCACCAGCTGGAAAAATTAGGGTGAAGGCTGAACCTAACCAGAGGCCCCAATTTCTTGCTCCATTTCTATAAATTCTTTCAATGACCAGAGTCAGGCCATAATGGGTGGCTAAACCAAATTTACTCTCCTGGCCCCCATTCACCAAAGCACATGGTCTGAATGACGGGACTGGAATAAGATGATGCTGGGGCAACAGAGGGGTACAAAGAAATGATCTCTGTCTCTGTTTAACAATGTGTTTTTGATCTGTCTTGTCTGGATTTCACTATTCAAAAAGAAGGTACCTCTTCATCCTGGGGGTGAGTGGTGGGCTAGAAGTAAAAGCTCCTCTGGAGATACCGCTAGGTAACTTTCAAGCATAGATACAAACCTGAACTAAGTGAACAGTGTTGCCAAAAGTCCTTCAGCAACCAGGAGAGAAGGTCTGAAACTCAGTGATTTTCATGGAAATGGTACTTCTGAAAAGACAGATTATAGGTGGTTATTTTCTCAGTCTGGATACATAGTCTGTTCAGAATCTCATTTATTAATCTGCCTAACAAATCAAGGTGTATTTTCCCTGTGCCACACGAGTTTTTTTTTTTTTTTAAATGAGAATTAAAACAGATTCATGTGAAACGAAAAAAGTCCACCATGAGTGTTCAATCCAAATTGTACATAAGTATTGCAGAAAACAAAGAAAGGGAGAACTCAGCTGGGATAGGGAAAACTCTTTGAAGGAATGACTGCTGAAGACATCAATCATCAGCCAAGCAAATGGATAAAGGGCTCAGCTCTGTGGGCAAGTGTCAGGTGGGCATCTGTAAAAACTGTATGACAGTCCAGCTCTCATTTCCACACAGACTCTAGATTTTACACATCATCGTTTCTTCTTACCTCTCTGAGGGTGAGGGTGGAGAAGGGGATTCTGCTTGAATTCTTCCAGTGAGACAAGCTTCCTCCTTTCTAGAATACCAAATGGACTGCTCAGATGAAAACATGCTATGCTGTCAGTAGTGTTCAACAATCTGGCTTACTTTTGCCCTATGGTAAAGATATGCTCATATATCATCTATGGGGTCACACTAACTGGTCAAGTCTGGACATCTGACCCTTCCTAGTATCACAGTTGCCAGGACTTCCTCCCACTCACTCCTGTCCAGGATGGAGAACAGAGAACTCGGAAGTCCGTATGTGGGTGGAAAGGAGCGGGGAGGTTGAGGGGGGCTGGCTGTGTTCTTCTCTTAACTAAACTGTTCAAATGTACAAATGCTCAACTTAGGGGGCAATCCTCCTCTGATCAGGATTCTCTAAATCACAAGCGCACAAACCATCTGATTTACAGCAACCGTGCCCAGGAAGCCAGGTTCTTCCCAGGACCCATCTCTGTGCCTGGGTTCAGGGGCTAAAGCCCTGAAGCTCCAAGCTGTTTTTGTAGGAGGCCATAGGTGTAAATGGTCAATGAATGCCACGCACACACGGTGGCAGAATCAGGCCAGAGAAGCAAAGAGGCTCTCCATGCAGCCCTTTCTCTGGGAACATGAATCTTCACACAAGGAAGAAAGGGGGGGCGGTGAAGTGGACCCAGCACTGTCCGGTTGCTGGAAGGCTTCTGGGGGAACTAGATGGATGGCAGAAAGGGGCTCAAAGGCAGAAGCCAGTCCAGGCATGGGAGGCAGGATGAAAGCAGGTGAAGACGTATGAGGGGAGGCCAACAAGAGGAGCAGTCACAAGGGGCCCAGGCTGGCCTC